GTAACTGACTAAAGTGCTGTCATATGCCCATACAGGCAAGGGAACTTTGCATGTGCTTCACATACCTTTTTTTAAGGAAAAAGTTGCAGAGTTGTTCTGGACTGCACAGGTGAATCAATGAGTTTATCCTTCTGTGCCAGGAAAGAGCCCATTCTTCCTTTAGACAGGACTGAATGCTGTTCCTCAGAGATGGGATTGACGTGGCTGCTGAACCGACATCAATCTTGTTGAAGATACCTGGCACTTGACCACTTAGGGAGGGCACAGACAGCAGGGCCTGACACCATCTCTATAACTGTGTGTGGCTGTGTATATACATAAAGCATGCTCTAGTAGCTTGAGCCTTTTAGCCTTGTTTGGAGAACAGCTGAGATCAGAGTTGCTTCAAAATGTAAAGTCCTGTGTGTTTCTTACTGTGCTGTGTACTTGCAGCTCCTGGACCTCATGCACACGTTGCACACACGAGCTGCTGGCATCTATAGCTCCTGGGCAGAGGAGCAGCGACACCTGGAGACAGCAGCCAGGAAAATCACAGCGGATTCCCGAACACTGTGGTCCAACTGCTGGTGTCCTTTGCTACAGGGTAAAGCCATCCCCTGGTGATGTCAGTGAGCAAACACTCTTCCAAAGTAATGGCAGGAAAGTTGAGGAGCCAAGAACTAACTGCAGAAAGCAGGCATAGGTTGTTTTTAGGGTCTGTTTTAATTGAAAAAGAACTTGGATCAGATTTGAAAAAACATCTTTAGGATGAGTTAGCTGCCAGCATGTTTCTGCATCTGGTAGTAGATTGCCAGTCTGTGGCCTGGAACAAGTATGATCCTTTTTATTCCACAGAGAGTTTTTGATCTTCACTAGACTTTTTACTCTAGACTCGGGAAGTAGGGGTGTGACACTCTCCCTGTGGGCTTTGCCCTGAGTCCCTCTCTTGCAGGTATTGCCTGGCTGTGCTGTGATGCCCGACGCCAGATCAGGATGCAAGCACTCACTTACTTGCAGCGGGCCCTCCTGGTACATGACCTGCAGGCCCTGGATGCTCTGGAATGGGAGTCCTGCTTCAACAAGGTAACCACCTGCCTGGCATGGCCATGTAAGCAGGGCAACATTGTCATGAAGAGCAAAGCTGTGTGCAGGAGAGTTGTCCTACTTCAGCACTGTCTCCGTGAGAAGCTTGTTCACTGCAACAGACAAGATGTTTCCTATTCCTGTGAAAAGTTCCTCCCTGCTTAGGCTTCTGACAGGGCCTTTTGGAGTATTGAAGTGAATCCACTCATGCACATCCCATTGCCACCATCATGTCCTCTGTCTAGAAGCCACCAGTCCCTAAAGCCAGTACCTTTCTGTAAGGCTGTGTGTTAAAATCTCATCGGTCATTTTTCAGCTCTGAAATACACATGTGTTGGATCCAACAGGTGCTGTTTCCTCTGCTAACCAAGCTACTTGAGAACATCAGCCCAGCTGATGTTGGTGGGATGGAAGAAACTAGGATGAGAGCCTCAACACTACTCTCTAAGGTGAGCACACCTCTGCTGCCTAGGGAAGCTTAAGGGAAACAGTGTTCCTCAAGAAAACCAAACTTTGCTGTGTTCACTTCTCAGCATCTCTGATCCAGACAGGTGTCAGGGTTGCTAGTTTGACTATGCAGTGCTGGGCTTCTCCACCAGCTTCAGCTGCTGGGACATGCCTTCTTTCCAGAACTGTCTTCATGATTCTAGTCCTTGGAAAAGTTGTCAGGAAGAGGTTTGTGACTTTATGATAGAGAGGAGGATTTCACTCAACATTAGTTGAAGACAGTCTATTCTTGAGGTGAAGTGATGCACATCACAAGCTGATAGTTGTGACCTGAGGCAGAGGTCTGGAAGGGCTAGAAGACAGGGTGATGCAGACTGCAGTGGCCTTCCACAAAGGAGACAAGATCCACTCCTTCACATACACAGCTCAGAAGAGTGGAGGCCTGTGGCATCCTCAGGCCAGTCCTGTGCATGTTCCCAGCCTGCCACAAGGAGGGGGAATCCAGATTTGTGAGACTGGCTTGTCAGTGAGCGGCAGCCCCTGTACTACTTGTTGACAGTAGTTGTGGTTTTTTTCTAGGTATTCCTACAGCATCTCTCCCCACTGCTCTCACTGACCACCTTTGCTGCCCTGTGGCTCACAATCCTGGATTTTATGGACAAGTACATGCATGCTGGCTCCAGTGACTTACTGGTAAGGTGCTGGATGCAGTCCTTTGGTAAACCATTTATTGCATTTTAACCTTCTAAACTTGGAAAGTGTTTCGATTTGGTGTGGGTTTTGGTTTTTTTTTTTTAACTTTTTATTCCTTTCCAAACAATTTTGTTCCACGGTTTCTTGCCCTGGCCACAGTTTCCAAGGCAGCCCATTGGCTGTTTTGAGCTTTGGTTCATTGCTACCTGTCCATTCTTTGTCCTGTCTCTGATCATAGCTGGAGGCCATTCCAGAGTCTCTGAAGAATATGCTGCTCGTCATGGATACGGCTGGAATATTCCACAGTGCCGACTCACGGACAGGATACTCCGATCTCTGGGAGATCACCTGGGAGCGCATTGACTGTTTCTTACCTCGGCTGCGGGATGAGCTCTTCAAACAGACAGTCATCCAAGGTACCAGAGGCTGGGAAACCTCAACACAGGTTTTGGACAGTACTTGCCCCTTGTCCAGTACTCAGCTGCCAGAGTGCCTGGATGCTGATGAAATGAGTTGTAGGAGGCTGTGGGAACTTGGCACAAGGGCAAATTGAGGGAGGGCAAAAGGAGTGAGTAAGCTGGTGTGTGATCTCACTGCATGTTTTGTCTTCCTAGATCCTGTCCCCAACATACCAGTGGAGCAGCAGCATCAGAAAACAATAGTGTCTGCAGTGCCCCCTTCTCCTGTAGGGGATGTGAGACCATCCACCCATGTGGCTCCTTTGGAGAAGCCATGTGAACCGGGTGTCAGTGGTGAGTCCTGTTTTCTTTTTTCTGGAATCACTTTCCCAGAATGGTGGCATAGATCTGCTTTTCCTTGCTTTAGCATGATCTCTGGTGACCAGGCCTATAGTGTTGTGAAATGTTGTGCTTCTATATGGATAAGTTGTTGCTGAGGCTGTTGGGGTGGGCAGAATGCCTGTGATTGACTCCTGCTCTTCAGGGCCTTGTACGAAGGGGCAAGTCTGAAAAGGCCCCTGAGTTGATTTTTAGCCCTGCTTACTTTTGAGCTAATAGGTGACTCTGTCAGGAGCTGTGTAAGGATCTATTTTGTCTGTTCCTTCTTCCAGAGTCTGAGAGAGTCACTGCACCTGCCTCACCCACCATCAGCACCTCTGCCTCTTCTTCCTTCCCAGCGTCAGCTTCAACAAAGTCAAGCCCCGTTACAGACATACCTCCTACGACAGCACAGCCACCGCTCATCCTGCAGCCTCTTGCCTCTCCCCTGCAGGTTGGGGTGCCACCTATGACTCTTCCAATCATTCTCAACCCAGCCCTAATTGAAGCCACCTCTCCTGTTCCCCTCTTAGCTACTCCACGGCCCACTGACCCTATGACAAGCTCTGAAGTCAATTAGTTGGAGGGTGTTGGAGAACTGTCTGCTGAGGAGGAGGCTCTCTGGGTGGAGGATGCTGGCCAAATGTTCTGTGGTAATGGACATGTTTGTTTTAAAAGATGATGCTAACCTGAGCAGAAGGGCCGTTTCCACAGTCCTCTGGAGCATGTCCCATCCTGCTCCCTTCTTGTGGCATCACCTAAAAATCTGCCCAAAAATCCCTGTCTCCGTGGAGGAGTGCCTAGTTCCACTGACCAGTCTCCTTCCTGCCTGTGCAATCTCAGGGGCCAGGCAATGCCTGTGCCCAGCAGCCTGGGACCAAGCTGCCACCAGTTCATCTGGTAAAGAGGGAAAACTTGTTGATGTCACACCAGAGAGGGGCTGCAGCACAGGACTGCCTCTCAAGATTACTCAGTCCAATCCCTGGGCAATTCCCCAGCCATTCCCTAGCTTTCCTGCTGACTCTTCTGGTTGTACTGCTTTGTTTGGGATCTAAGCACGCCTGGGTTCAGCAGGTAGAGTATTTTATTAGAAATGTGGATTGCTTACAGTGCAGCTCTCAGATTGCTGCGTAGGACTTCTTGCCTGCTGGTACATGCTTTCCTTCCTGCAACATGGATGACAGCAATCCCCAAGCCAAATAGAGATTAAGTAGCAGGCAAGTCTGATAGGGGCTTTCATCCCTGTTCCTGTAAATGTAATCAGGCTTTCTGGTTGGAGAAGGCAAATACCAGAAGGCTCTGCCTAGCTGAGTAGATGAGAAGGAAATGCTGAGAGCAGAGCACAATGGCTGTGTCTCACACAGCACTTGTGGGGCAATCATGTGTTTTGTGCCACTCGCTACACATTGGTCTCTGGCTGACCAGCCCCTTCCTTAGGAGAAAAGAGAACATCCCCTTCACCTACAGATGTGGAGATCTGTGGCACCTGCTGACAGATGCTCAGCACATCTGCAGTGGTTTCTCTTGAACGCACCTTCTGCATCTTCTTGTTGGGATCTCATGTCCTTCTACCCCCCGAAGGCCCCTGCAGCTGAGGCCCTGGCAGTGATTCTTGTGCTTCCATCTTGCTGCAAGGACATCCCACTCTTTCCCTGCTCATGTCCAGAGCAGAGCTGGCTGCCTGCCAAGTGCTGCATTGCTCATCTTTCTCCTCCTCCCTCAACTAGTTGGCTAAATTCTCAGTAATTTCAATCTTGGAAATCCCCCTGGTGACTGGGAGGGGCATGGATGGGACTCCAACCCAGTGTATCCTGTAAGGAAAGGAACCTGCAGTTGGTGTGGGAATACAACCAGTGTACATACAGAGTAAATGGCTAAAATCCAATGGACTTTTTACAGTGTAATAAATACATCCTGTAAATGACTGTTCTGGTGTTGCACTCCTTTTCTGTCATCCAACTTTGGCTCAGAGCCTTGGGAAAAGGGGAGTTTGCTTGTGAAGGTGTTGTGCCCTGGCTTCATATACCAGTGCTCTGTCTGCAGGGAGCACAGGGGGACTTGTCAGCTTGGGGTGGGGGGCTGCAGTGGAGGTTAGCCATCAAGGGACTAATCAGGAATGGTTCCCATCATGGACCAAGCAGAGCTGTGAGATTGGCTCTTTTAGATGGCAATAGTTTACATGGGCTGTAAAATTTCTAGTGTTACATTGGTGTTTACTCATGCACCACCAGGACTGAGAGCAGAGATGAGGACTGAGGAGCAGGTGCTCTACTCATCTGGTCATGGTGCCAGAACAAAGACCTTGGTGGCAGCTCAGCTGCCATTGGTTTTTCTCTGATGAAGAAGAAATCCTTGTTTCCATGGACAGGACTCAGTTGGAGAGGGTGTGAGAGATGCTGGCCTCTTCCAGGGCTAGTGTTTGCCGTGGATTTGAACAACTGCACTTCCCCCCTGGGATCTTCTACTTTGTTTCATGGCAAGATCCATGCAGTGCCACAGTGTCCTCCGAGCTGTGTGAAGCACCAGTGCCTTCTCTATTCCAAGAGACTCTTACAGACTTGGTAAGTGGGTAGAAACTTAGGAGTTCGTTTAAATTGCATGAGAAAAGGTCTGAATATTGCATAATGGAAGAGTAATGTGCATACTAGAAAAGTCCTGGTAATAAATCCTGGTTCCCTAACCCCATTTGTACCATTCCTGGAATATTTTTGCTGCTGCAGCCCTCTTCCTCACCCTCCACTGCCTCTAGATTATGTCTTTCCAGCCCTCAGATGTTTTCATTAATGCATTTGAGTCCTTGTGCTGCTCATGGAGTGCTTCTGTATCCAGCCCCCCCTCTTGTCTTGTCTTTTTGACTTCTATTTGCAGCTCTGTTTTTCTGCTTATTGAAAGCTTTAGATTATTAACTCTTTGTCAGGTGCCTCGATGTCAGGACTGCGGCTTTGATCACCAGGCCCAGGTGGTCCTCTGACTTTTTGGGGTTGTGTCAGCTGACAGCAAAGCTCCATTTTGCCAGCTGCCTTCCGATAGCTGTTTTGGGCACATGCTGTGTTTTAACACATGCTGAGTTTCCAAACCCAGCTTCTACTGAGAGCATTACGTCTCAGACAATTATGGTGCAAAGCAAATGCCACCTGAGAGAACTGTAGGAAGTGGGACTAGAATGGAAGGAATGTTGACTGGAAAGACAGAATTGCACTTTAAACAGTTTTCACTAGGCTGTAAATAAGAATGGACTGGAAAACCAGAAAAAGAACTTTTTGGAAGTTGTTTGGATTTTGCAAGAGTGAAGTTTAATGTTACAGGGGAAAAAAATCAGGGAAAGTACTGAACTGAAAGGAAATCAGAATCAACTGTCAGGTAGCATGTGCTGCCTGATATGTTAACCACTATATCTCTTGAACTCTATTTGTAAGTTAAATTGCATAAAAGTCAGTCATACTACTAATGGCTGCTGGTGAGGAGTGGTGTTCACAACAGTACCCTTTAGATTTGTCCTAGCATATACTTTTTCTAGTCTTGGACTTTTTTCTCATTTTTACTCAGGGTCTGACTAAGTATTTTCCAGAGGAGGCTGAACAGACATCACTGTGTGTTGGATTTACCTGCCTCTTCTGTTCCCATTTATATCAAGGACTTCTACTGCTAAAACAGAATAGAAATATGTACTGGGATTTAGCAGATATCTGTAGAACACTTTACTCTGGAGCTGGTGTTTTCCTCATTGGTATGAAGTTACTTGTGTGAAAAGTCCTATGGAATGACAAGCCCTGACTATAAAACATACATTTGGCACTGAAACATGTGAAACAGAAGCACTGCTGCTTTCAATTTCAATTTAAAAACTGAGTCTGAGCATACTCAAAAGGTCTGTAAAAAGATTTCCAGGACGTATCAACAGGGAACTGGCTTTTTTAGAAGTTACTCTCAGCCCTTTAAATGCCAGCTGTTGAACTCCTCTGGAAAAATGTATGCCTGTTATGGAGGGTGATGTGTTCTGAAGCCACTGTGCCTGGCATTTTCGGCCCAGCTGAGCAGAAGGCAGCCCGGCGGGGCTTGTGCTTCTCGCCTGTGGCCCCGGAGTGATCCGAGGCTGCTGGAGGCGGCAGCCCCGCACAGCGGGCACGGTTCCGTTGTCCGTGAGCTGTGGAGGCTGCCGGGAGAGGGAGGGCTCGGCCTGCTCCCGGCGGGCGGACAGGAATGCGCGGGGCAGCTTTGGGAGCACAGCCGGCTCGGGAGCAAAGCTCTGGAGTGCAGCTCTTGCCCCTATCTGATGGGCTGAACAGCGAGGAGAGACCCTGGCCCCCTGACGAGGCTGCAAGGGACGATGCGATCCCCCAAGACTACAATTCCCAGTGTGCAGTATTGCTCCCGCGGTTGTGTAACATGCGCCCTGGCCCGGGAGAGGTGGTGGGCAGCCAGCGCTCCTCTCCCACACCGGCCAGGGTCAGAGCTGTCCCCGGGCAGCTCCTCTCTGCAGAAGGCAGAGAGAAAGAGCAGGCATTATGAGCACAAATGCTCCCTTCTCAAGGGGTGTGCACACCGCTTGGCGATGGAGGATGTGTTGGGACTTGAAAGCACATACCCACAAGTAGCCAGGGGCCAAGAGGGCAAGTTCCTGCTGAGTTCCCAATAGGGTAATGGGACGCCCGTGGCGTTACCACAGCCCTGCTCCTCTGCCAGGGGAAGTTGTGCTTCCTTTCCTCACGTTTTCTGTGTGAGAAAAATGGAAATTTCTTTGGGCAGCAGGGTTGGCTGCTAAACTTAATCCCTAGTTGTAGAAAGCGTCTGGAAAGAGAGAGGTCAGGGTAACCGGGTCAGGAGTGTGTGCAGGCACTGGCTGGCAGTGTGCCTGCAGCCATTTAGTGAGAGCACAAGGACAGTCACTCCTGGCGTGCAAACAGAGCCTTGTCCTCAGGACAGGATGCTGAGCCCCATGGAAGAAGAGTGAACTAAAGCGTTCGGGCACAGACAGCATCACCTGGAGCCGAGGGGGGTGAGGCCCCCAGCCCTGCAGCCGGCTGTCGATGCCCGGGTCGGCCTTGGCCGAAGCTGTTCGGGTCCCCAGCTCCCGGGAGGAGCGTTCGCCGCTGAGCTGAGCCTGCCCTCCCCTGCGCTCTAGGGGAGCCTGTCCCTCGCTGCGGCACAGCCGAGCGCGCTGTGGGGCCGCCCGCCCCGCGGAGCCCGGCTCCGTGCCGTGCTGCTCCCGGCTGCTCTCCCCAGCACCGACCTGCTCCCCGGGCCGGCAGCGCGGCCGCCACGTGGCGCCGGGGCCGCGCCGGCCCGTCCCGCTCCCTGCCGCCGCCGGACGGGGCGGGCCCGGCCCTGCCGACGAGCGGGACCCGCGCTGCCCCGGGGCGGGGCCGGCCTGGGCTGTCCCGGCGCCGCTCCGCACGGCCGGAGCCGCTCCGCCCGCCAGCCCGGCCCCGGCCCGACCCCGTCGCCCATGGGGAGCGCGGCCCGGCGGCGGCCCGGCGGCCCCGCTCGCCCGTAGCCCGGCGGGGCATGCCAGGCCCCAGGATGCCGGCCTGGGGGATCCTGCCCGTCACGCTGCCCGCCTTCACCATCACCGGCATGTGGATCGTGTGAGTGCCCCGGGGTCGCCGCCAGTCCCCCACCCACGGGCGTTGGGGCCGGGGCCCGGGCCGGGTGCTCCGGGATGACTGAGGGCCGGGGGTTGGAGGATGCTTTAGGGTGGGATGCAGCGGGCTGGAGGTTGCGGGGAGACTTCTGGACCCTCAGGGGCTCCCACAGCCGCCCTGCGTGGTCTCCGCGTCCCTGCAGCAGCGCTGGCATGTGCCTCCATGTCCTTAAATCCCTGACACCCTGCGGAATTGCGCACCCCCGTCCCGGCCTGAGTGCTCAGGTGGCCCGGGGACGGCACTGGGAGCCACGCCACTAGCCCAGATACTGCAGCCCCGGGCTGCGGTCCGTGTGTGGGCACCCATCCCATGTGCTGGCTGGCTGGCTGGATGGATGGGCCTTGTGCTAGGAGTAGAGGCTGTGTCACTTGGGTGAGCAGTACTAGTCCACTCCAGCAGTCCATTTCTCAGGCCTTAACACAGGTAAGCAGTGGATGAAGGACTTTTCTCAAAGGCATCAAGAGGTTCAGTATAGGTGGTGGGACTTCCTGGGGTATGGGATGGAGCAAATGCACCCCACATGCATGCTGGTCTTCACGACAAAGCCGATTGTTCCTGGTGCTAGGAACTTATGCTGCAAGTTTTTCCCTCAGACACCTTGCAAAGCATGGGCTGTCTCCCGTGAGTGACCCTGGGGGCAGATGGCCCTCCGGACCAAAGCAGCACAGATTGGAGTTGCTGCTCATGATCCTCACAGCCTGAGTTGCCCTGGGAGTGGCTCTTTTGAAGACCTGTGCTGGGTGATGGCTCGGTGAGGGTTCTGCTCCTTGGTGGCTGGGAATGCTGTTCCTTGGTTTCCCTCACCTGTCCTGCTCTTTGCCTCTGTTCTGGGATCATCCTTTTGCAGCCCAGCTGTTACATGGCCAACTCGGGCAGGAGAGGAGTTTTGATACTGGTGTTGGGGCCTATTTTTAACCTGAGCTGTTCACAACCACCAGTGATTTGAACAACAAGGTGCTGCCCACTGCTGTGGCTGCTGGGCAGGAGAGCTCCTGGATGGCTGGGGTGGGGGCCATGGGGCTGAGAGCCCTTGCAGTGGAGCAGGATGCATGTCATGAGCCCCCTGTTACACTGACTAAGGCACAAGGGTGACTCTACAGCCACATGCTTGATGGAGCTGCTCTCCCCACGATGCCCTCCCAAGGCACTGGCTTTTCCAGACTTCCTTTAGCTCATTGCTGGCCAGCCACGGGCTGGGGGAAGCACGGCAGGGCCAGCACCATTGGGTACCACCTGGCACAGCTGCAGGCTGGTGGACAGCCCCGATGGCAGGGGCATGCCAGGGAGGCTCTGTAACAGAGCAGTCCCCCAGAGCCTGTGGAGCACAGCAGCATGATGGAGAAGAGGCCCCACAGAAGCAACTGCACTGAACTGGAGCAGGAGGTGGCTCTCAGCAGGGATGGAGGTACAAGGCAGGGGAACCTGGTCCCAGCAGTGGCAGTTCTGTGGAGTACATGCTCATGCACTTGTTTTTCTTTTTCCTGCTTTGTAAAGCTGGGAGGTGCCACAGGATGAGTGCTGGCCCTGGCAGGCACTGAGGGCCTGTATCCTCTGCTCTGGCAGCTTGTCCCTGGGGCTGCTCTGGGTGCTGGCAGGGAAAGGGGGTGCAGGGAGGCGGGTGGCTGTGGTAACCCTGTTGTTGTCTCTCCTCCAGATATGCCATGGCACTGTCCAACAACCACATCTGCCCTGTCCACAACTGGTAAGGCCTGCAGGGAAGCAGGGACATTTTGGCACATCCTGGCTTGATTAAAGACCTCATAATACCAAGTCCCTCCATACCTGTCCCACTTAAAGTATGCCAAGCTGTGCTAGACCACTGGGTAGCTGAGGCACTCCCTGCACCCTGACTGTGATGAAGGGGGGTTGGGGATGGTGGGAGCAGTAAAGGGGCACAGAGCTGCCTTCTTCCCTAACAGACTTGGTGGTGATGGGGTGCAAATGCCACAGGGCACATGCCTCCTGCCCAGCCCAGTGGCTGTTGGGAGCAGAACAGCTTGGGGTCGAGCTTCAGTCAGGGCTGGGCTGCCCTCCCTCCCCTGCTCAGGTTCTCTGTGGTAACAGCCTCTGCTGCAAACCAGGCAGGGGAGAAGGAGGCCTTTCAGAAAACACAGCATGGAGAAAGTATGAAAATAAGTGGTCAGGGAATTACAGAGGGCTGTGTGTCTCCATGGAAAAGGTTGTGACTTGCTTGCTTGAGGCTAAATCTGGCAGTGCCAGGGGGATGGGATGGTCCTGCAGCACCCAGACACCCCATGGACAACTGCCTGCAACACCCCCAGATGGGGGATGAGGCGTGGAAGAGACAAGGGCTGGGAAAAGAAACACTGTTTGGTCTCTTGGCAACTCCTTCTGCAGGGCTTTTGGCTTGTAGTGTCGCCTTAAAAATCTGCCCAGGAAGATCCATGTTAGTTTAATTCTTGCTGGAGTGTTTGAAGAAGTGAAAAAAAAAAACCTGCTGCCATTTCCTGCCTGATGGCTGATTCTGCCCTGGGAAGAATGTGTGTGTCGGGTTGTCTCTGCCGCACAGCCAGCCCTTAATGACAAATAATGCTTCCCAGCCTGGGGCTGCTTGCTTTAAACAAAATAATAATAAAAAAACCCTCCCAAACCAAACACAGCCCCAAGAGCAGCCTTTGAGGAGGCCTGGGGCTCCACGCCTCGGTTTAGTGGTTGGAAAACAAAGCCACCAGTAAACTGAGGAGACTGAAAAAACATCAGAGCTCAGCCCAGCCCTTTCCAAAAAGGCTTTTTTAACCATGTGCTCGCTGCATTGCTGGAGGTGGTGGATGGACAGCCTGGGCAAGGGACAGGGCAGCACTGTCCCCCCACAGCTCCCCCCACAGTGCTGTCCCCCCTCAGTCCCCCTGCCACGTGGGACTCGGGGTACCTCAAGAGGCCCTTTGGGGCAGAGAACTCTGCACTCGCTACCTGTGGTGTGAGCAGGGGTTCCACTAGGCCATGCCAGGCAGAGGTGCTGGATGCATGGGTGATGCTGCAGCAAAGAGACACAAAACCCCAGTCCAGTGTGTGCCAGCTCCTGGGAGAGCTGTGAGGCTGAGGGCACATGAACCCCGTGGTGGAATTTGGTTAGGGTTGCAGGCAGCAGCTGTGGTACAGGAAGGCTGATAAGAGCTCGGGGTGCTGGACTCACGGGCTCTGTGGGTGCAGGAGGTGCTCCCAGCGCACTGTGGTGGGTGCAGGCAGCAGAGAGAGCCCTGCCCAGCCCGGGTGCACTGCTGCTGAGCCTGGCTCCAGGGCAGCCTGGGGCTGGCTCTGGTCATGCTGTCCCTCAGGCAGTGCCTCCCATCTCCTGCCCTCCCAGGTGCGGTGGCACTGCCCTGGGGGTGCCTGTGGCTGTGGGGGCCATTCCCTGCATAGCTCAGCATTCCAACCCATCCGCTGCAAACCTGGAGCAGTCAATGGCTGCATGCCCGGCTTCTCTGGTGCTTCCATGCGGGGAATATGTGAGGGGGCTGGCAGGTGGGTGCTCCTGCTCCTGTCTGGGTGTGGGGCTGCCAGAACCCCCTGAGCCCACACCCGGCCCGCACAGCCTCTGCCCTGCCTCACAGAAGGGGGCTCTGGGTGAGCAGCAGAGCCAGCAGGGGGACAGGCTGTGGAAACACAGGCATGATTGTGCCTGTTGGGCAGTGGGTCACTCCCTGGAGGTTGTGGGCACATCCCTGGGTTTGGGCTGAACTCACTGCACAGCAACTTGGCTGCCCTTACAGGGCAGGAGACAGGAGGGTCCTGGGCAGCGTCTGGGCTCTCCTAACCCTGTTCCTTTGCTGCTGGCAGGAGTTACAACCAGTCCTGTGACATGGACGGCCCCAGCTCCTGCTGCACGCTGGATCACATCCCCCTCGTCAGGTGAGCAGCCTCAGCATGGGGGCAGAGCTGCTCTGAGACCCCTCCAGGGCAGCCCAGGAGGGAGCCAAGCATACAGCCCAGTGCCCCCTGTCTGAGTGCTCTGTGGGTCTTGTTTGTCCCCACAGCAAGTGTGGCACCCTGCCTCCCGAGAGCTGCTTCTTCAGCCTCATCTGCAGCCTGGGCTCCTTCATGGGTGAGTGCCTTCTGCTGCTGGGGAAGCAGGGCTGGGAGAGGCTGCCCTGCACCCCCCAGCAGCATGGGGCAGCAGTGGATGAGGGGGCTGCAGGCAGTGGCATGTGACAGGGCTGTGTTTCCCTCCCGCAGTCATCCTGGTGGGCCTGCTGCGCTATGCCCACCTCCTGGAGCGCCTGGGGCCGTCCCTCCTCAACACCCTGGGGCTGGCCACTGGCTGGGTCTGCGCTGCTGGCCTCACCATGGTGGGCAACTTTCAGGTAAGGCATCTCCTCGGGAGCCCCTGGGGTAGGGGGCAGGAGAGGGCCTTGGCTGGGGGAGCAATATCTGTGCTCAGCAGGGTAGGGTCTGGGGTTGTCAGTTTGGTCCAGCGTCCCATCCATGCAATCCTTCCCTTCCCCTGAGTCAGTGCCGTGCTTCCCAGGGTACTGGGTGTCCTCTTTGTGTATTCATAGTTCAAGTGCAGATTAAGCTGCTGGGTTTCATTAAACCCTTACCTGAGCCCCTTCTGCACTGTCTGTCCTCTCCATGGACGTGTGCAGGGACATGCTGTTCAGGCTGCTCCTGATCCTGCCCAGGGGACGATGCCAGGAAGCTGTCGGGGCAGAGCCTGTGCTCAGGGGGAGCGGAGCGGGCCCAGCTTGGCAGCGCACGAGGTGCTCAGCCCCTGCCTGCTCTGCCAGGCCCCGGGCTCCCGGCAGCCAGTCCCTCCCCTTGGCAGGAGGCTGCTGCCCACACCAGCCCCGGGAGGAGCTCTGCAGGCCCCGATCCCCCTTGCAGCCCTGCCGTGGTGAGCGGCGCTGGGCTGTGACCCTCGGGAGGGGTGCAGGCAGTCCCTGATGCCGCTCAGGGCAGAGGGCAGCCCCTGCCCCTGGGCACAGCAGGGCTGCTGGCCCATGGATAAAAGAAACAGAGCTCTTTGAGATCCCAGCAGTAGATGGGTCTGCTCTTCTGCCAGGAGTCAGGCACAGGGTGAGCTGCCTGGACCTGCTCCCAGCGCTGTCTGCATCCCTTCCTGGGCCGGAGTGCAACTCCTGGAGCAAAGTCACGCTGTGATAGGCAGTGTCCCACGGAGTTGGCAGTGATGACTTCTTCCCCACAGGTGGATCACGCCAAGGTGCTACACTACATTGGGGCAGGGGTGGCCTTTCCCACCAGCATGCTGTTCCTGCTCCTGCAGTCCATCCTCACCTACCGCATGGCTAAAACCCGAGGGCAGTACTGGACCGGCCACTTGCGGAGCATCCTCACCATCGTGGCCTTCTTCACCCTCGTCTTCAGTATCCTGAAGGGTGTGAGAAGAACATTGGGAACTGGCTGGTGAAAAGTGGTCCTCACAGTGGGGTATATGCCCCAGATTCTCTATCCTTTGGTCTAGCAATGAGGCATGGTGCCAGGAGAGGAGCTGGGCAGGGCACGGAGGGTGGGCAGCTCCCTGCAGGTGTAGGCTAGAGGAGCAGCAGTACCAGGGCTGGGCAGGGGCTGAGGAGGGGAAGGGATGCTGGTGGGTGTCCTTGGGGTGCTGGCATGCCCCAAAACAGCTGTGCCCTGGCTGCTGCAGCCCAGCCACTGCTGCAGGCTCCAGTCACACACCACTCAGGTCTGGTTAATTGTTGGGCTTCTTTAATGGGACCAAGGTATTTTGAGCCCTTGGCAATGCAAAGTCCATCTGGGTTACCTCTCTGAGCGAAGCTGAGTACAGAAACACTGTGTGAAGGTGCCAGGTGGGCACATGGCAGCACCTCTGCCAGCCAGAACTTCTGGGCACTCGCCAGCCAACCTGCCCATGGGACAAGGAAGGGTTTGGTGAGCAGGTTAACGGGGCTGCAAACACTTTACCAGGGAGAGAGGTCATGGCATCAGGTGGGCTGGAGCTCAAAGAATGGTCCCAAGTGCATGGCTGAGGAGTGAGGAGTTTATTTGGGACTGAGGTTGAGGATAAATTGGGAAACAAGGTAGTGGTTATTGGGCAGGAAGGAGAAAAAGCATGCAGTGTCCATGGATCCCAAAGAGGCTGGCTGGGGTCTGTCTGAGATCGGCTGCAAAAGAGGAGCCTGGGGGTGCTGGCAGGCCTGTCACATATCAGAGGGTCCTGCTCTGATGACAGACTGGGAACTGGGAGAGGCAGGACTGCTGCAGGGCCATGCCAGCTGGGAGGGACAGGAAGGGCATGTAAGGACAAGGAGGACAGGAGTGGTGCCCATCTGCTGTGGCCATTCTGCTCTCTAAGCTCTGGGACTGGCAGCGGGCAAGCAGCAAGCTGTGGTGTGGACAGTGTGGGGAGAGGGCTGGGATCTTTCTGGCGTGGGAGGGGTGAGTTGAGGGCTCTGCACTGTACAGGTCAGGTCCCTGCTTCTGCAGCTCTCCCAGATCTTGGTCTCCCTTGCAGAAGGGATGGTACTGCTGGAGGCTTTGCCTGGAGGGCTGGGGAATGTACCTCCTCCCCTCACCCGCAGTAGCTCTTGCAGTAGGTTTCCCTGCAGATTTTTGGTGGGGATGAGAGAAGGATAAGAAAATTCTGGTAGTGGTAGGATCTGGAGGAGTGGGAGCAGGCACCATCTCTGGGGTGGACCAGCCTGCAGCACAGGAGGACAGGAGGTGCTGCAGGACTGAGGTGCAACAGTCCAAACCATGTTTCAAAGGTAGAGTTTTATCATCTTTGACTGCATCCTATGACAGGATGGAGAACACCAGCCTCGCTTGAGGATGAGAAAAGGAGTTTGGGGAAGATGAGCATCTGGGCACCTGGCTTGCACTGAGACCTGCAGCCTGAGCTCATCCTGCCCTGGCCTCTTCAGATAATCCCAGCCTGGCATCAGTGATTTATCAAGGCTGGTTTGGGCATGTGTGCCACCGCTTCACCTGTGCCAGGGCCCTTCTGGTGCTGGGAGAAGCATGTGGGGGTTTCTCAGTGTTAGGAGTGGTGGTGGTGTAGCTGTCCTGCAGAGGATGGGTACTCACGTCCACCCCAGCATGCAGTAACAGTGGGACATGGCTCTCTGGGGTGGATGGAGTTCACTGTACTATCCTTGACTGGGATACCCTCAGGTGGTGTGTTCTTCATCCAGGAGAGCTTTGTGCTACAGCACGTGGCTGCCTTGTGTGAGTGGATATTCATCATTGATGTCCTGGTTTTCTACGGCACGTTCACCTTTGAGTTTGGGGCCATCTCCACAGACACATTCCTGGTCCTGCTGAAAGCCAGCCGGGCCCCCAAAAGTTACAAAGGCGAGAGCAGCCTGTCCAGTACAGCCCACGTCCACAGCCACGTGGAGGGCCTGGCTATGGCCTGACCCGCACAGGAAGCAGCCCACAGTGGAGACCCCAAATTGGGCTCTGCCAGTGACTCCCCACCTTGAATATTTCTGAAAACCCCGCTGCTGTGTGTTTGTGTGTTTGTGTGTTTGTGTGTGTGTGTGTGTGTGTGTGTGTGTGTGTGTGTGTGTATGTGTTTGTGTGTGTGTGTTTGTGTTTATGTGTTTTTGTGTGTGTGTGCATGTTGGCCTGGTGTGCCCTCCACTCTCAGCAGGAGCTGTGTCCAGTGCTCCTGTGGCAGCTGTTGCCCCTGCAAGAGCTGTCCCCTCCCTGCCCACAGGGTTTGGGGTCACTGCTGGGCTGTGGGGATGCCATCCTGGTATCAGCAGAGCCAGGATCTGCCCCTGAGCCTCTGGGGTAGCCTGGTGTGAGTCAGGCTGCTGAAGGCAATCGAACTGAAGCTTCCTCCTGAAAGGGGCATGGTGGGCTGGAAGGGGACGATATCTGTGTTCTTCCCACCTCCATAGGGGTAAGCAAGCCTTCCATCTGGCTATTGTGACTGTCAGAGGAGCCAAAAACACAGAGTGCCTTTTCCCTTGGGAAGTGACTGCACTGCCAGTCTGTTTGCAACCCCATTGAGGATGGCAGCAGGGCCTCTCCCTCCTGCCTTCCCAGGTGGGGGTGGTGTCTCACTCTGTTGCAGGATGGCACCAGCAGCCCCAGCTGGACTGTGCTGACCCCCTGTGCCCCATGCCTGGGCTCTCACTGCTCAGGCCTTCTATGCCATCAGTCAATGGCTTTTCCTGCATTTTTTCAGCTTTGAGAATTGCTGAGGCAGGTTTCACCTCCCTGGTCACAGCATTTCCCTGCTTCCAGCTAATTTGGGAAATGAGTCTTCAAATTTACCATCATACAGGGGATGTCCTGCAGGCACCGTGCCTGCTGGCCAGGGGACTTCTGCTCTGTGCTGCTGCCAGCCCAAGCTCTCCCAGGGAGTGCAGCCATGGAAAGGGGGAGCACTTCTGTAGGAACAGAAGAAGCGTGTGCCCCCTTCTTCTGGGACTCCCAAATCCATCCTCTGTTGCCTTGGCCGATGCCTGCCTGGCTGGAGCTCATCCCGCTCAGCCGCAGCATCCTTGGCGTGTCCTGCGCAGGGGGCTGAGGTGTCGAGGGCTGTGAGTGCTGTGTGTGCGTGCATGTGTGTGCATGCATAGATCTACAAATATATATATATATATACACGTACATATATATATATATATATATATATAGTCCCCTTGTCCCTGGAGAGGGGCATTTACTGCTGCTGCTGCTGCGCGCATTGATCAAATTGGGCTTTCCTATTTGCCCACTTTTTCCAAACCGGCCTGTAAATCCACCAGTATATGTAGTTCAAAGAGGAGCCTTTCTGACTTTTGTATCTAATATATTTTTTAAAAAGTATATATAAGGACAACAGTGAATTTACAATAATAAAAGTGAAAATCGTCCATGGGTGAGGCAGACTCTCCTTCCCCGCTGGAGTAGCAGCTGGCCTTGGGAATGGCCTTGGGAATGGGGTGAAGGGTCCTGTCCCCTCGGGGAACAGCCATGAGCCCGGGGCTCGGTTCCCTGACCCGAGTGCCACGGACAGGTGATGTCGCCGGGATGCAGCAGCCCGCAGTTGCCCGTCCCTTCGGGGGTCCCCGGGCCCGCCCTCCCGTTGTTCCCGCCGGGCGGAGCCGGGTCCGGGAAGCCCCGGGGGGCGGAGCCGGGTCGGGACTTTCCCGGTGCCGGGCCGAGGCGCGGCCGTCAGCCTGCGGCGGGGATGAAGGTGAGCGGGGTGCGGGTCCTGGGGGTGCCGGGGGGCTGCGCCCGAGCAGCGGCGGGCAGGGCTCCCTGAGCCAGAGGGAGAACGCTTCCCAGGGAAAGGGAGCTGAGCGGTCCCGAGGCTAAAACTCCTGTGCTCGGGCTGCCCGTCCCAGCGGAAGGGTCCCGGGCTGCCTCTGGCCGGCCATGCGGCCAGGTGGGGTGGGGGTGTTGGGAAGATCCAGGTTGGAGAGACGTTTGTTCTCTTGGAGGGGAGAGGAGACAGCCAGTCCCAACGCTGGCGGTTACACCCTTTTCCCTGCCGGTGGGAAGTTCCCTATTTCCTATGTTGCCATTGGGTTCTGCCCCATCCTGCAGCTCTCCCTCTCGCGTCCTGAGCCCTCCTGCCCTGGAGCAGGGCTGGCCTGCTGCCCGCTCCGAGGGGAGTCAGATCCGTGCCCGCAGGCTCGGCAAGCCATAGCCCCAGTGGAGCTGTGAGCACCAACACGGCGGTGGTAACTGTGGGCAGAGTGCAAACTGGAGAGAGTGACAGACAGCGAGCGCCGGGCTGACGCTCGCAGGGCTTCTCTAAGGGCATACAGCTGGGTTAATCGGTCATAGCAGCAGAGCTGATTAAAGGCTCTCAGAGGAGAACACCAGAAGATCAGTGGGTGGCTGGGGTTTGCCAAAACCAACTTGATAGCCACAATGGGAGTAAAGGCATTTTATGCAGAGATACACAAATGGCTTCAGTGGTCAGAAGTGGGCTGTCAGGAGAAGAAGGCTTAGAAAGCTTTCAGGAAGAGGGGATTTCTCTCTGCCATGCTTGCTGGTCAAGGACTTGATTTCCAGGAAGGGTCTCAGAGCAAAGTCACTGTGAACGCAATATGAGAGAGACTCAGCAGTAGCTGCTGGGATTCCAGGGATGGAGCAGAGCCCAGAATTCCTGCAGAAAGCAAGGCCAGGTATTTAGGGCTGTTGTTCACAGGTGTTAGCAGACCCAAGGAAAATCAAAATGCAAAGGGAAGAGTATGTTAGGGGAGCAGTCAGCTGAGTGGCTGGAACATGTCAGCTGTACACCAGCACAGTTCAGAGCAGGGCTGTGCTCCTGCTGCCTCCTGCATTTCTGGAGCAGCCTTTCCCATGGCTACTAAACTCTCCTGCCTCTGATAGGCTGACGTGTGTTTCCCTCCTGCCTGCAGGGCATCAGCTCTGCAAGTCAGCCGACTATCATGGGAGGAAAGAAAATAGCACCCGCATTACTAGGTCACGTTCAAGGAGCTGCAGGCATGGAAGATTGGCTTTAACTCGCACTGTTTGCCAAAGGCTAGCCCTTAACTGAAGTGCTCTGGCTGGCAGGGGGAGGCTGTGCCATCTGGCAAGGGTGCTGTGGCAGTGCTGCACTCCAGGGCAGGGAGCTGATGCTGCTCTGGGTAGTGCCTTGCAGCTGGATTGCTGCTCTTTTCCCCCATTCCCAGTAATGCCCAGAGAACCCTGCCTGAACCCTAGGAGTGTGTGAAGATGGGGAGAATTAGCCAAATAAATGGGGTCTGCAGTTCAAGCCCATGATCCAGGGCAGATGTGTTGGGAAGACAGAGCAGAGAATGCTACTGATGGAGAAAGGAGAGATGCATTCCTTTCCGGCATGTATGGGGGATAAAAGCTGCATATGCTGCACTCCTAGGGGAAACCCCAGTCCTGGAGGTCAGACAGGCATGCTGCTTGGCACAGGAGGCAGGACTTCACCTGGAGAGCAGCTCTGAGGTTGCTTTTCCAGGAACAAGGAAGCAGGTGGTGACACCATCTCTGCTCAGCAAGCAAGGTGGGCTTCCTCCAGCACACACTGCACAAGGATGCAGGGATATGGCTGGCAACCTCCAGAGAGAGCCAGAGCTGTGTGGGATGGGGAGACACAGGTAGAAGTTCGTGACATTCTTTAGTCATGCTGTTTGCTGCAGCAAGTGGAAGTGTCCTGGACAGCAGTGAGTGAGCTGTGAAAACCCTTCAACAGGAGATGGAGCTGATGCCACTGGAGAAGGGGAGGTGTGCTATTCCAGGGGCACAGTCTGCTCTTATCCAGCAACTTCAGGCCTGGGCTCTCCCTCCAGGCTCAGTGGAGGGTAGGTGGCTGTTCCCAGCCCACTGAGGAAGGTTGTTTGTCCCTTTGTTCACCTCTCTGCAAGATCCGTGCCCAGCAGATGGGGTGGGTGACTCGTGGTGGCAGGCTGAACCTGTCCAGGTGGGATGGTCAATGGGATCCGAACTGCATCCAGTCTGTGCTGCTTCCCACAGACCACCAGGGGGTTGTGTCCATGTTCTTAGGCCTTCAGAAGCCCCTGCAGAATGATAGGAGGAAGGTCCCCACCTCATTTTTCAGTGCTGGATGTCTACCTTCTCCTTGCACCCTCCCCTGCACTTGCAGGTCCCACAGACCCCACGTCCCAGGCTGCACAGTTGCCTGGGATGCATCTCTGTGCTTAGGTGGCAGGCCAACCGGGACAAACCTCAGGCTTGAGGTCCCAGGACAGTCCCTTTGGAAGACTTGAGTGGCTGAAAAATCTCCTTGAAAAGGCTCTGTTCAGCTTCTGAAGAATATGAGTCAGGCACGGATTGAACAATCCCCTTCCTTCCCCTCTTCTCCCACACACTCAAAATCCCCTGAGTGAGACCTGCAGCAACCACTGATTCAGAAATGGAGTCAGATATGGGATTTTTTTTTCTTTTCATTGGTTAGTGAGAAGAAATGCAGAGCGTGCCCGTAGGCTCTCCCCTGATCCTGCCCCTTTGCTAGAAGCTGCCGGTGGTTTTGTGTGGTCAAGCAGACCTTGGCCCCAGCGGAACTCCTGTGTGGTACTGGCAGTCCCTGTGGCCATGCTGGGGCTGAACGGGTTGCTGAGACCAACCTCTTCCTCCTCGGTGAGTAGGAGGGTGTGAGCGCTGTGGGCCCTGCTGCTGGCAGGGCCTTGCTGGGGTCGGCGGGAAGCATCCAGTGCTGCGTGCTGGGGTGGTGGGAGATGCTCCCACAGGGAGCTCTGGGGCTGCCCCTTCCACTCTGAAGCCAGTGGGAAGGAGGCAATGGGAACACGGATAGCGAATGCCTCTCTCTGGCCACCTCCGGGGGAAGGATGCCGGGGCTGCTGTGTAAGTTGAAACGGGGGAGAGGGAAAGCACCCCTTTGGGTGCCTGGCAAGGGGCTGCTGACTCTGCAGAGTCCTGGAGAGATTCCCATGTCCAGGGGGGAGCCAGTGGGCTTGGGGACAGCACTTCGGGGCAACTCCTGTTTGAGTCCATAGGGGCTTGGAGACGACATCCCGGTGTGGAAGACATATCCCTGTGCAGGATGGATGATGTGGGGTGGGGATCTTGGGGAACCCAGGGTTTTCTATGGGTGGTTTCAGCCGTGCTGCACTGCAGGTCTGGCTGGGGAAGGGCTCATGACAGCGCGGCGGGACTGGCACCCGTAGCGGGACAGGCGGCCGGGGACGGCGTGGGGCAAATCCCTCCGTACTCCCGAGGGGAAAATACGGCACATCTGGCGCCCCGGAGCTGCCAGGCAGCGCCCGGGTGAGAACGCCCGGGGGAGGCGGGCGGGAGTGCTCCGGGATTTCCAGCCCGCCCGGGGCTCCGAGTCCGAAATTCCCAGGCGAGGAGGGGACAGCCCGTCCCGCTGCCCCGGGCGGCCGCCGCCGGGCGCGGGAGCGGCCGGGCCGAGCAGAGCCGCGCTCCGGGCCGTGCCGGGCCGGCCCTGGCGTCCCGCGGCCCCCGCGCCGTGCCCCGGGCCGGCCCGGCCGTGTCCCGGGCGGGGCGGGGCGGTGACGCGCGGTCCCGTCATTTCCCGGCTCGGCGGGGTTTCTAGGGACTTTCCGGAGCGGCGGTGCCTTCCTGCAGCCCCGCTCCCCGCTCAACCCCCCCCTCTCCCCGCAGGCCGGCGGCCGGCCCCGCGCCGACATGGACGAGCAGTTCCAGCCCGTGAGTGCGGCACGGATCGGATCGGAGCGGCCCGGGCGCGTGTCCTGCCTGCTGCCGGCCCCGGAGCTGGGCACGGGGCAGTGCCCGACCCCACGGGCGGGGTGGGAGGTGGGGGTCCGCGCCTGCTTCCGGGCTGGGAGACGGGAGGGTCTGTGCCAGCCTCCCGGGGTGGGCACCGAGGGGTCTGCACCTGCCCTCCTCTCTTCTCGAGGAGGGACAGGGATCTGTGCCTGCCCGAACGGGCTGCTGTGCCAAGCTGCCATCACCCGCCCAGGGTAGTTGGGGGATTCCGGCCCAACACACTCATCACGCTCCCCTTGCCTCCCGTCACCTAGTGCCTGGATGGGATTGACTATGATGACTTCAGTTTTGACTCCCACATGATGGAGCAGAAGGAGCCACTGATGGAGACAGGTAAGGGCCCCTCTGGTTGCACCCTTCCAGGGGTCCCCAGCTGCAGTGGGGTTTCCCAGCGAGTTGACTCACACCTTTAAGTTTCCAGAAGCACCACAGGCTTTGTCCTTACTGGCCCCACTGTGGGCTGGCTGGAAATTCCTGGCTCGTGACACCAGGATGGGGCTTCTTCCATCTGTCCCTACTGCTCAGTCTACCAGGGACTGCCAGGTTGGGCTGTGACCTCCTGGGGGTCCCTGTTTCCCAAGTGGCAGAGCATCCTCTGGCCCTTCCCTCCTCTTGCTGCTACTCTGACTGCTGTTCTCAGCTGGGCTGTGAT